AAATATGCATCTATCTAGTTATGCAACAAATTAGAAAACTAGATAACATAGGGATTACCCTAACTCAAATAGGACTATCATGCTTCTAACATACAACTACACTAGTTGTAAAAAAGTGTTTTGTAATTTATACAAGTGTTTTTACTCCTAAAAACTTATGAACCAAAAATCATATTTTTGAATCAACAATTAGTATAACTAATGACAAAACAACTTGATTAAATTAACTAGTTTCATTAAAACATCTTTTAATTAAACTAGTAATTAGAAGCAAGTACAAAGACCTCTATGAGTTAGATATTCATGTTAAGATTTAATTAGATGGAACCATGGCTCTGATACCATGAAGGAAATTCATACTAAATACATGCAAAAAATGCAGCGGAATACTGTATGTATAATTATGCTAAGCATGTAGAGAGCATGAAATGCATAATAGGACCATCCTAATTAAATCTAACATAATCCCTATATTAAAGAGAGCATACAAGAGTTAGAAAGTCATACTTTCGAAGCGTGATTCGGTGGAAGATTGAACAACCCCTAGCTCTTGCTCCTTGTAGTAGAAAATCTCCTCGTAGTGGATCTCCAAGTCTTCAAGTGGGCTTGATAAAATAGGAGTCTTCTTAAGACACAAGGAAAGATATCCACCCCGGGGTACTTTAAAATCCTATCACTTCCTCTTACTTAAAGATTGCTAAAGTTTAGTAAGAGGTAGATCTCTCTTCTTTTCTTTTATGGAAAGTAACTATGAATAAACCATTTATTTTATTTTTCTATTAACCATGAAAGAAGAAAGAGAGCTCATATTTATAGAGGAAAAATATGTCATGACATGAATGACTCATCCTATGAGTCACACCATGAGTCATCAAAACAATGATTCTCTCATGAGTCATGTAATGACTCATCTCATGACTTATGCAATGAATCATGAAGAATCAAAACTATGTGCTAAAACCACGTTCCCAAACCATACCACCTTAATGACTCATCTCATGACTCATTAATTAAGGTATAATAAAGTGCGTATTTCATAAATGAAAATACAACATCAATACAGTATTTCATAAATACGGTATTTCGTAATTTTCCAATCATTGATTAATAAGTCATCATATGACCAAAAAATCAATGAGTTGACCAAAAGTCAACCGTTGACCAAAAAGTCAACTAGTTGACTAAAAGTTAATTTTATAGGAAAAATAATGAAATTCATTTTCTAAGCACATAACATTCTGATTTTACCGATATGCATAACCGTTTATGTGTATACGGTAAAATCATATATGCTATCAATCATACGCATTACTCTATAAATTTATATTTCATAGGATTTAAGTACGCGCTTGGTGTGACTCTAGGGCCCAACTTAAGACTCGGCAGTGGATTATATCCACAAGTACAACAGTGATGCTAGCTACACATGAAGACTACCTGGGTATAAGTTATGATAAATATCTGTAAGATGCTAACACAATTTTATCAGGACCACTCAGTGATAATACCGTACAGTTCGATCTCTTCTTCAAACCATGTCAAACCATTGAGCCTAGGGTATGGAAAACTGTCAAACCCTAATTTCTCAATTAGTGTTTGTTGATATTAAACTCATAACCTTTAAGATCAAACTGAAACTTAGTTTATCTTATTTACCATTAGTGTTTGTTGATATTAAACTCATAACCTTTAAGATCAAACTGAAACTTAGTTTATCTTATTTACCTCGGTTAAAGATTTTTAGATTATAGTTATATCAAACAATTTTATGATATCAACCCCCTATACTGGGAGAGAAGAATCTCATCTTGGCATCTCAATATCTACTTATGCCTCGAGATGCACCCAACAATGTGGTTAGGTAAAAGTCTAAGTACACCTATACTGACATGTAAGATATTGCACTCATGCCTCAGGTCAAGAGACTACTATGTACTATATCACTTGAGAACTTCTATTTGACAGTTAAGTATAATTACCAACTAGATGTTCTCAGTGAGTCATTCAGTCAACTCATTCACTAATGAGTCACTTATATACTATATTTTGATGTCTCATATCAATGATCCGAGAGATAAATCATCATCCTATCAAAGGAGAAATAGAGTATACACTAGTCATCCCAAAGTGATAATGTCCCATTTCAACACTTCATCGACTAGGAACATTTTAGAATATACGTTAGCGACAAATCAAATCTCTTCATTATGATCATATCCGAAATGCCTGATAGTCTAGTATCATTCTAAGGACTTTATCTGTATTAATATACCAGATAAATCTGACCAAAATAGCATATTATTATTTTGAATAAGGATGTTATATTCATATAAGTCCTGTTACAATATACAATTATTGCCTGTAGGGCACCTATATCCAACAGGCTCGTCGTTTCAAGCTGTGTTTAGGGACCTATAGGCAATTTGTGACGCATATACTTTTATTTATATTTCCACTGAAAAGGTTCAGAACCGAGTTAAATGATCTTTCTACATACTAACATTAACAATTTGATAGTCTATTTACGAGAAAATATTCATTTAGAAATAAATGTATTAAACTGTTTTGATTTATATTCTTCTATACATTGAAAAATTAAAATCTAAAAATTCTTGAACACAAATTAATAAATCAATCTTACATGTCAAAATATAACTAAGTCTTACACTATAATTATTCTTTTAATAGTGATATAACATTTGCCAAAAAATGGTGCTCCTTCTGGGTCTTCACTGGGATATTATATGTTTGTTTAAACATCTATATAAATTCCAAATTAGCTTAAAAAGGTTTAATGAATAAATTAAAGTAAAATGCTAAACTAAATTATCAATTTTAATAAAATCTAAAAATTTATACCACGTACATTGTACGTGCAATTCGTGCAATTCACCTACTATAAAAAAAATCCAAGAGACAAAATTATCCAATTTACAAAGCCTGCTTCTTCGCGGCAAATTACATACACACGTCCTCAGCAACAATGTCACAATCATAAATTTAAAATTTTTTTTTTTTGCTAAATTCAATGATTTGGTCAAAGAAGGAAAAGAGGCGGCACCATCATAACTCTCACTAACTTTAATAGAAAATTAATTGTGCCCTTAGTAAGATAAGTAATAATCATTAAGCTACAAATTTGTACGCGTTAGATATTGTACGCGTTAAGAATCTATTTTTCCTAGTTTACATTGACTACTAGAACCTGGGTTATGGGCCCCCCTCTCCTTTACTTGGTCTTCCATAGGTCTGTACAAATTTTGTATTAATTTTACATATTAGTATATAAAATAACAATAGATTGCAAATAGTTCTCTTTAAAATTGTCCCTACGAATTTCTGTTATTGCATGTTAATTTCTCCTGCTTGCTTTATTGTATTCCCCTTCCTATTCTCAAATGCGTCAATTGGCTTGTCTTTTTAACTTTGTGACATAGTCTCATTCTCCTTCGTTTGGCTAAACAATTTTCTAAAAGATTTAAACAAAATTAAATATTAACATTTTTGTTCCCAAAAATGGATGTTAATATGACAAAGTTCTTTGTGTCAAAAAAACTTTTTATCTTTGAAGAGCTGCATTACATAATATTAGATTTTATTCCAATAATATTTTTTTTCCTTATAATTTATCTCTTACAGGGTTTCAAATAAGTTATTGATCAAAGTGTTTCATCACGTATGGCTCTATATTCTAGTGATTTTTCTTTTTTACAGCTGAGAATTAGCTTTGGTTCTTTGAATAACCATTTTTTTGAGTAAAACATGATTTGACGTCAAACAAAAAATTTAGAATTTTACAATTTGATGTGAAAAGGATGGATATAATTAAGACAAAAAAATCTGATTATGAATGATTAAGAACCCAGGTAGAAAATATTATCTTATGTTTAACATATTGTTTATTTATATATAATCGTTACTCAATATTTGGCGGCTATGATTTACAAACACAAATCTCTTCTTCATAGCTAAGAAATGACCAATTTGTAGGATCCTAAATTCAAACCCTGTCATATCTTTATATATCCTCTTTCCCTTCTTCTCCAGTCCTCGATCAAATACTCCAAAATGTCCCTGCGCAGATCTTTTCTTTCATTCAGGTCCTCATCCTCTTCCCATTTCAGCGATCGCCGGATCCAGCCTCAACTCCAGCAAGATTCAACGGCGGAGGATTCGGATCCGGTCACCGATCGGTCAGATGACCGGTGGTCCCGGTTACTGCCGGAGCTCCTCGGAGAAATCATTCGCAGGGTTGAGTCGAGCGAGGATCGATGGCCGTTGAGGAAGAACGTGGTTTCTTGCGCTTGCGTTTGCCGCCGTTGGCGGGAAATCACGACGGGGATGGTTGGATCGCCGAGGGATACTGGAAAGATCACTTTCCCTTCGTCGCTTAAGCAGGTTGCTCGATTTGATGTTTTCAAATGGGTTTCTTTTTTGTTGGATTAGGTTTTACTTATTTTGTTTACCCTTTTTGGTATTCGATACATTTTAGATTAGTTTTCCCCAATTATTAACTGGAAAAGAGTGATTTTTTGGGGCGTTGTTAATGAGAATGATGCTGATATACATGATCTCTTGTATTGTTGGAACTTTTTTGATGTTTCCCCTGTGAAAGTATGTTTTCTGGATATTTGGAATCCTACCCCTCATTTGATTTTAACAAAAAAGAAAAAAATGTTTTTCCCCCGGTTTCTTGTGTGGTTTTTTTAAGATGGTATGGGGAGTTTTAGATTTGTGTCTGCCTTCTGAAAGTTATTTTCGTGTATTTTCATTCTTTCCTGATTTAGATTTAGAAGAATTCTGAAAATTTTAGGAATACATGAAGTATTTGGCGTTTTGTCCCTAATTTAATTAATGAAAAAAGTTTCTTTTTTGACTGAGATATTATTGTTGGAGGATCTGCTGATGCTATTATTATTCATTGGCTATTGCTTATATTATTTTCTGCTACTTAGAAAGTATCTAAATTTGGGTTCTTTTGATTGATGTGCCGATTGCAGCCAGGGCCGAAGGAGCATCCAATGCAGTGCTTTATCAAGCGGAATAAGAAGAACTCTACATTCTATCTTTATCTCAGCTTGACCCAAAGTAAGATGACGTTCTTAGAAGGCTTAAACATTTTCTAGATTTAGTTGCAGATAACCCCCCTCATCTATACCTTTACTAGCACTTAACGTGTCTCAATTCATATATTATTCACTTAGCACCCCTCAATTCTTGAGGAAGGAAACGGGTGTTATCTACAATTGTCTTTCTATAACTCGTCCAGGACTCCGAGGGCTTGCTTATACATGAATTGAAGGATGCTAAGTGCTAATAAGGGAGGTTATTTGCAATTTGACCTATTTACTATGATTCATTTTCTTGTGCCAAAGTGCCCGCCTTTGGTTATTTGTTTGTTTTAATAATTTATGGTGGCTGTTGGGTGGTGGAGAGAGTTTGCTTTTGAATAGTTCTTGGAGGAGTCCTGGTTTCTCACCCACACTTTTGGGAAAACAAAACTTGGACTTTTGTCTCTTGACTTTTATAATTGAGTTAGTTGAGCGATAGAATGAGTCAAAATTGATAGTTTCTAGGGTTTGAATGAAGTATTTGAGTATATCTCTTGACTTTTATAATCGAGTTAGTTGAGCAATAGGAGGAATTAAAAATTGATAGTCTGAGATCTGCATGAAGTTTTGAGTTTGTAGGAGTGCACACCAAAAATACTATTAGATCTGTCATTGTCATGGTATAATTGGCACACTTACCTCAATTGATGCACTCAAGGATGGAAATGTCTTCTCTTGAATAGTAATTTTTTGCAGTGATTTGAATATCTTGTGGAGTTTTCTCCTTTATGATACTGTAGGTCTCCTATCAGTTAGGATGAAATTTTGAATCAGGCGTAATGCTTAATTGTTCAACTAGAGATCTAAATAGTTAATATGAAAGATCTCATAACTCATTGAACATCCTGTTATCATAGAGGCGTAAACTTCAGCTATGTCATTGAATAATTTGTGATGTTCAGGCAAGCACTAAGATGGTTTTCTTTTGAACCATGTTTCACCTTGCAGACCTTTTCCAAGTTCTGATTCAATAAAATTATATGTTTAACAATTTGCAGTTCAGGTTGTAACCCTAGTCTTCTGACACCAGATAAAAACTCACACAATTTACTCTTGCAGCCTTCATGGATAAAGGAAAGTTTCTACTGGCAGCTAGAAGGGTAAGGCGTGGTGCCCACACGGAATATATCATCACACTTGATGCTGATGACCTGTCCCAAGGAAGTAATGCTTACGTAGGAAAGTTGAGGTAATTTATGGACATGTATATTTAAAAAAAAAAAATCCATTCTGGTCTGCAACTATATTTAATTATACTTCGTTAAATTTTGTGTTTACCTCTTATAAACCTATTCAAACGCCTTAAGGATTATTTGTGAAAGTTTCTGGCCTCATTCACAAAGCAAGTAGAAACTATTTTGTCATTTCATTGTTTAGATATTTTGTTATTTCAATTCTTTGCATGTTGTTCGCACCCTGCGTGCTCAGAGGCTAATGCAAATCATAGAAGTTTCCATGTTTTTTGTATGACAGTAGAAACTTCCAGCCTTTTTCCAATTGCCTTTTTCTCTATAGGATAGTTCATAAGCTTAAATTGCATGACCAATACGACAGACTTGCTAGATTTTACTATTGGCCAACTAGCCTTATTTGAGACCACTCAGTTAATCATAGTTTTCTGTGGGCGGTAGTTTCTCTACCCTGGACATGATTATGTTATGAATTCATACGTGACTCTTTCATTGGATAAAGTCTCATATACCCCTTATCTTCAGTCAACTGCTCCACCTCTGATGTGCAAGTGGAAAGCCTTCCCCTTCGACCCATTTTCCGTGCAACTTCTGAGTCTGCCTTTTTTTTGGGGGGAAGAACTTTTGCATTACGGAATTGTGCTACTTGGCTAAAAACAAATCTGTGGGAGTTGGTTTGCAAGTTTGCTTTGCGCAATGATGTTTTCTGATTCCCTCTTCTCTGGCTACTGTTATATTTCTAATCTTATTGCAGATCTGATTTCGTGGGCACTAAGTTCACAATATACGACAGCCACCCACCTTTCACTGGCGCAAAGGCATCAAGCAGTCGAACGAGCCGACGCTTCACCAGCAAGCAAATCAGCCCACAAGTTCCGGCTGGTAATTTCGAGATTGGCCATGTTTCGTACAAATTCAACCTTCTCAAATCTCGAGGACCAAGAAGAATGTTTTGCAGATTACAATGCCCTCCAAGCGAAGAATCCACCAAAGGAGAAGAATCATCTCAACCTCTATCTGTGGTATTGAGGAACAAAGCTCCTCGATGGCACGAGCATCTTCAATGCTGGTGCTTGAATTTTCACGGGAGGGTAACCGTTGCTTCTGTGAAGAATTTTCAGCTTGTTGCAGCTCCGGATCCATGTCAAGTGAGTGGGGTTGGGGATGATGAGACAGTGCTGCTTCAATTTGGGAAAGCTGGAGATGATATGTTCACAATGGACTATAGGCAACCACTCTCGGCTTTTCAAGCTTTTGCCATTTGCCTCACTAGCTTTGGTACAAAGTTTGCATGTGAATAGAAATGCTTAGCTCCTAAGTTATTGTTGCGGTTATGTTGGTGGACATAAATTGGGCAAGCGTGTTGTATATTTCCGATGTATGAACGATGTTGCTTTTGGATCAACCAGAGAGATGATGAAGCAGCTACTGGCATCACTGTTTCTGTTTGACGTTTCTTATGTATTATAAAGAAAGCATGGCCTTGGGTCTTGGAGTACGTATGACTTTCAAGTGGTTTGCTTTATGTACAGATATTGACGTGAGCAATTATAGGATGAACTCAAATGAACTGGAATGGATTCGGTGTATATCATCATTCCTCCGAACATACAAACATAAGAGTGAAGGGACATGTATTTTATATTCAGCCACATAAATTACATATGACTAGTTCAACAAACAACAAATAGAAGAAAACAGCAAATAGAAAAGATAGGATCCGGGGATGCAGGGCAAGTCGGACAAGTATTTTCAAACTCCAAATACTCTCTCTCTCTCTCTCCCTCTCAACAAGCTCCAAGTCGTAAACAAGATTGTACAAGCTCACTTTTTACCTCGCAGTTTCACTCCGAGAACTCTTTCCAGTTTGACAATGATTTGCTGGTTCGGAATGGCCTTTCCTGATTCGTACTCTTGGATCACTTGAGGTTTCTCATTGATCAGCTGGCACAAGATAGATACCCACAAGCATAAGATTAAATGCTATGAATCAAGTTATAGGGCTCAAAGAAGAGAAGAAAATACCTGGGCAAGCTGTGCCTGTGTATATTTTTTATCCATTCGTGCTTGCATGATGTTCTTCTTCAATTCAGTTGGCACCCGTTCATCTTGTTAAATATAAAATTCAGATGTCAGGAAATGAAAACACAATGCCATTAAGTACATAACAAAATAGATAAGAGTAACTAGCTATTACAGAAGATATATGTAGTGGATTTTCAAATGCTTATTTCTAGTCTTAAAACTGGTTTGAGCGCAAAAGCATTAATCAATGACAAAGAGACCACTTTTCCATTCAACGGTAAATTCTAACCTTCTTATATTATAAGTTCTAAATCTTCTGATTAGGAGATGATGAAGTCATGTCCTACTTATAGGGGTGCCAAACGGTTCGGTTTTATCCGAACCGACCCGCATCCGTATCCGAACGGATGCGAATATGATAAGCTATTTTTAAAACCGGGCGGATATGATTTCGGATACAGATCCGGTTTCGTTTTTTCGGATACGGATTCGGATATGAGTGTATGATTCGGTTGCGGATACGGATATCCGCATTTCAATAAACATAAGGATTCAGGTCCATTAAGGTATCAAAGTTTCAAACCCGTAATCGCTAACCAACCCAAAACCCAACTAAAATGTAAAAACCCTAGCCTCCACTGGAC